TTTATTTATTTATTTATTTATTTATTTGCCATAAAACTGTTGCTTTACAGTCTGATTTAGCTTGTTGAATTTAAAACAAGACTATCAAAATCGTCCCACCTCACTGTTACTTTGTAAAGTCACTATTTTTCTTATTATAACCTGTTAAAATATTGACCTTTTCTTCCTACATTTGTTTACTTTTCTGCCTATGTCAGGCTATAGATTTGAGAAGAAGTACTTGTTATCAAACTTCTGATTGTAAAAATGTACTTAAGCTCCAGTATTTATATGTGCACGAGTTTTAATTGTACAGCCCTGAGCCAGTGATCATTGAGTATCACTGACTTCCACATAGTTCCTGTAGAAAGTGCCTTTCCTCACGACCAGCAGGTGAGCCTGAGAGTCGGACGGGCTGAGCCTCTCCTCACAGAAGGCCAGAAAGGATCTGGAGCGGGGCAGGTAGAGCAGAGCTGGGACTCTGTACGTCACTCCGTTCGGCTCCTTGTGGAAAAGCACAGATCTGGCTGGAAAATATGGCGACCTCATTCTCTCTGCTGTGTGAATATTTTCATCTACCTCCAAATTGTCTGAAAAGAAGAGTTAGAAGCAGCTTTACTGGACAAGCAGGCATGCAGTTTCCAGTAGCTCTGTCTGAAGGTGCTCAACAACAAATGAACAGGAAGATAAACAAAGATATGGTTGAACGCTATAAAGGACAAAAACACTAAAGAAAAGCAAACACAGGTATACAGTTCACTTGAGAGGTAAGTTACCTGTATTTAAATGCATATAAATGAATATTTTCAAAGTAAGATTCTTTTCTGGCCCATCTAAATCAACTCAATTCAGTAGCTGCTGCATCAGAATCTGCCAGGAGCAGCTTATCTTCTGAAACAATTGCTGGAAAAAGTCCAGTGGTAGCAGAAGGTAATTCAATTGTCACTAATGTGAATTCTGTTTGCCACCTCGACCATGACTGCACCATCAGAATTTTTATGTTCAGAGTTTTTGATAGTTATGGAGAAAAATACAGTCTCATTCAAGCACGATGTGCTAAATATTATTCCAGCTCAAAAAGACGTTGCTTACTTTACACCGAAGGTATTGCAATATTACAAAAATATATTTAAAGAGTAACTAGGATAGCGGTCCACTGTGCTACACAACTGGGGAGGTCGTGTTTAACTGACAAATAGACTGCGTGTGACCAAACCTTCAACTGTGAAACAACCTGACAACAAGGTCAGCATCACATTTCATCAGCACATTTCTGCCTCCTAATTCAGTCTTCCCACTGTAACAGCACTGTGAGGATGCAGCTCACTAATGCACAGTTTATGATCAAAAAAGGTAAATGTTGCACAGTACTTACATTTACAGTGCTCTGTGCTCCTGCAGCTTTGTCAGGGTGTACAGCATGTCTCAGTACTTGAATGAAGGGGTGACAATGTAATGTGTGTGTGTGAGGGTCTGAAAGCTCCGGCCTCCCCTCCCTGTTTCCTATTCAGTGCAACATGGTGCTCACTGACCCAGAAATGGCCCACACTCATCAGATCTATAGCTTTGGATGAATCAGCGAAGAACAGCCAATGAAGGCCAGGCGGGGAGGGGAGTGGGGGCACACTGAACAATGACCTGATGAACTGCCTCTTCTCTGCTTTCCTTTTTCATGTCACGCAGAATATGTAATAGGCTATGTGTTACTACTTTCTGTGTAAAGCATTAGCTCTGCCGGCTTGCACATCTGTTCAAGAAAGCTTTGACATTCTGTGCATGGAGATGACTATCGATCATAGCTGTATACAGATGTGCGGTCAGTGGTGGAAAGGAGATACACCATCTGTCAGTTCTAATGTTTTATGTATCAATACATAATAAAAAGTGATCTGCAAGAGCAGTGCATGAAAAAATGAATGCACCCTTTTGCTTTCATGAGAATTAAGAGGGTAAAAAGTAACCAGATGCTGCTTTTCTATCCTCTTATTAACTGATTAACTGACCATCAGCAAGTATGAGTGCCTCTATGGGCATCACTCAGCATGTTGTATGTTAATAATGTAAAAAAATTATTTCAATCAGTAAAATTAGAAAAGGACTGAAGCGGTACAGCTTCTAGTTCTGACAAACTGCTCTATTTATTTATCTATATTTTTTAAATTGATATTATACGTCCATGTACTGTATATTACGACATATGATTATATATCTATATATGATTACCTCTATTATTGTGCAAATAAATTGTATATTATGGTGGATGTACAGTAATTGGTGACACACTAACCTGTCTGTATTAAATAAGTGGCTTTGTAGCCTAATATCTCTAATAAACCCCATTTAACGCAGACACAACTTCAGCTTTTTACCCTGAAACACACTTCGCAGGCAGTACTTTGCTCCAATTTTGCAGAAAATGAAAAGAAAATTAATTATTTGAATATACTATTTAAATACTTGATGTAATAAATAAATAATAAATATTAACGCAGATAAGTTTAATATAAGAAAGAAAAAAATCCTCGCTGATGCCGCCTGACAAGATAAACACAGGGCTCAACCCTAATACGTGTACGTGACGACATCAACAGGCGACTCAGCCTCACATGGCAACCTGCTGAAGTTTTAAACGTCTCTAGAAGGTAGTGTAATTTCTCTGTTCTCGGTGAAGTCACGTTATAAATCAACTGTAATCGGTAAATTCAGGTCAACGTGTTTGTTACCGCCGTCAAAGCGTCAGCTGGACAGGAGGTTAAAAATTAGCGGCTGAGCTAGCAGGTTAGCACAGTTGGATTTGATTTTCTGTTTGTAGCAACTTCTTTCATTATTGTGGTTTCTATGAAGTAATCATCCAATTTACAGGCTTATCCTTTATATGCGAGTGAAATACAATTTAAGTATTTAGAAAACCGCTCCTGAGCGCATTTAAATTCAGTGTTTTTGGGCTTTTTTTCTTTTGCGTATTTGTCACACTTGCATGTTTCAGGTCCCCAAACAAATATTCCTATTAGACAAAAATGATCTGAGTAAATACAAGATGCAGTTTTTACATGATAATTTCATGATCCAAACCTACCTGGCACTGTGTTATTAAGTAAAAATAGGCTTGGTGTACATCTAGAATTATGTCTAATTCTTCTCATTAACCTACATTTTACAGGGTCAGCATGGCCAGGCAGTGGTCTGAGGGCCACTCCACTTCCATTCTCTGTGTAGAGGTGTCTATGGGCCCTGAAACTCTCATTGCTTCAGGCTCTGAGGGTGGAGAGGTCACAGTGTGGAGCCAGGAGGGCACCATCGTAGGCCACATCACTCTTTCTGGTGAGGAAGACAGCACAAGCGTTGTGTTCTCACCTTCAGCTCCAAACCAGCTGTTTGTGGCACATGGAGATGCAGTTAGTGTGCTTGACCCAAGGAGCCTGAAGGGTCCCGTAGAGGAGTATCAGGCTGCAGGGGAGGAGGAGATCAACGCTTTAGCACTGAATGAGACCGGTTCGGCCCTGGCTGTGGCGGATGACTCCGGGGCTGTGCGCATCTTGGAGGTTCCTGGAGGAAAAGTTTGCAGGACTCTGCGCAGACACACCAACATCTGCTCCTCTGTTGCTTTTCGGCCTCACAGGCCCAATAACCTGGTGTCTGCCGGACTCGACATGCAGGTGAGAAAACGTTTACCTACTTATTTCCTGTTACTAACATTTCTTTCCTGACATTAGCTTTGTTGGTCTCTCAGGTGATGCTGTGGGGTCTGCAGAAGACCCGCCCTCTGTGGACCCTCAACCTTCAGGATGTGGCAGAGGAGGAAGGCAACCAGCAGCAGCGACCTGGTCAGCTCTTCAACCCGCCGCTGGCCCACTGCGTTTCTGTCTCGAGCTGTGGAAATATTTTGGGGTGCGCAGCAGAGGACGGGCGGATACACCTGATGCGGATCGGGAGCGGCTCAAAACTGGAGCAGCACGGAGCGTTTAAAGCCCACAGCCAGGGAGCCTCGCAAGCCCACTTTGTTAACTTCCTCTCCCACCCATACTGGCTCATCACTGGTGGAAATGACAGCCAGGTTGCATTATGGGACCTCAGCAAGCACCCAGTGGTGGCTCCAGAGGGGAAAATTCAAAAGACAGCACCCCATCGAAGGAAGGGTAAGAGCAAAGCAAAGAGGAAGGAGCAGTCCCAGGAGAAAACAAAGACTGATGCGCAGAAGGACGAGGCTGAGGGGAGCGATGAAGCAGGAGCAGCAGGAAGCGCAGAGGAGGTGACGGAGGATAAGTCTGGGCCTAAACTGAGCATCAGCCATGGGGACAAGGTGAACTGGCTGTGTCCTACTGTGCTGAAAGGAGAACCAAGTGTGATAGTTGCAGATCAGAGCTCCAGTCTGACAGTCTATCCTCTCTCTTAACTGGACACTAAACAGCTTTTTTTCCCCCCCTCACAGCAGTTCATCTTTTAGAAAACCTTTTTCCCCTCTGTTTGTTGATTGAGACTGAGTTATGTTTTTGGTTTTCCTTCTTAAAATGTGTGAACACTTTGAAAATAAAAATAAATAAATAAACCCAACCGGTTTTAATCTCAAACATCAAAAAAATCTGCATGAGAGTCCACAATGTAATAAACCAGAGGTTAGTTATTTTGGAGTCTCGTTTACTGCAGGCTTATTTATGAGGTTTTTGTGTGTGTGTGTGTCCCTATAAAAGTGTCTCTTTTAAATACACGTTCTGTCTCTGAATAGATTTGTTATGGTTTTATAAACAAGTTCTTCATTTTTCTGGATTGTAATTGTGCCACATCTGACAGAAGAAATCTGCATTTCATGTTTAACAGAGTTTTTAATGAAGCCACCCCAATCCAAACCAGGTGGCCAACAGAAATCAAAGCACAGTAAATGAAAGCTGGCCCCCACAGACATCAGAACAAAAAAATGATTGCAGACAGCCACACATGCATTTGAATTGCTGCCACATGAAAAAAGCATAAAAAATAAAAGCACATCCCATGTGAAAGAAGAACTGGGATTTTCTGGAATACATGTTAATGAATAAGTCCTGTTTGCTGCTTATGAATTGCCACAGGCTGACTCTGGGATACACAACTCCAAAAAAAACAAAAGCAAAAAACAGAAGGAAACGCTGGATCAAGGTTTAACCGTCAGGGATCTCATCACTCTGTCCAGTTCCTGAGTGAAGCCACAAGGAGCAGATGTGTTCAAATACCTGGTTAATGAAACTGAAACTACACAGGAGACGTGAAGAAGAGCGTGCAGGCCAGATAATGAGACTGTGGGAATAACAAGAAGAGGTGGAAGACTTCAAGAGGTTAAGACGTGGTTGGTGTGACAGAAGTAGGATGCTGGGGATGTATCGCATGGCGACACTAAAGAAGAAGACGACTGCTCCCTCTTCCTGGACTGCATTTCATTGACACACCACACACATCAGCATCAAGCATCAAAAACTTTAGTTTTTGTTTCCAAACCAAACCCGAGAACTACAAACAGCATTCTGCTCTCTTAACGCCAACAAAACATTAAAGTACATTCATTGGAAATGTTCTGCATTCATGCAACACTTTCAAAGAAGGGAGCATCATTCTTCCGCAAACAAGAAAAACACAACAACGACACATGAAAAGGCACGAGACTGAGCAAATTCACGCCCGTCTGATTTAACAAGGCAGCTTACAGCTCAGACTGCACGAGAAAAGCTTAAGAAAAATCCACTGGTGGTAAAATCTTTGACAATATTTCTTCTAGTCTAACAAAATGTTTTTAAGCTGCACGTCATAAATCAATCAAATGGAAGCTTTTTAAAGTGGAAATTTCACCGAGTAAGCAGGATCACTTCACAGCACTGTAGAGATCGTTTCCACAATCACTTACTAATAGCCTACTAAATCTGCCTGGATGTCTTCCACTGTTAAAATCCTTTCATGTCTTGCAAGAACAGGTTTAAATAAAGTTAACAGGTGTGAGGCGTTTCACCCCTCTGATTACTGAGAGGTGCAGGCGATGTTGGCGTGGTCTCACATTTTGGAGGTTTGTGCCTTTAGGGCAATGTGCACTGAGCAGATGATGTTTACAGTTTGGCCAGGGCCTTCTCCAGCAACTCCATGTCTGCATCCCCCCCGTCTTCACCCTTGCTCCCGCGGGCGCTGCACTCCACAAACTCCACCTTCATGGGCAGCTGGCTGAACTCAAAGTCTTTGCCTTTTTTGCCCAGGTACATGCTGCCGCCTACGGAGCCGTCCTGAGAGCTCAGTGCTGCCGAGCGAGTCACTCTCAAGGTGTTCCTGCAAGACAATGAGACATCGTTAAAGAAGAATCGTTTACTGCTCAGCAGACCTGTAGGGTTTATTTTAGATTCAAGATTTAAGTGGCAGACAGTAAAAACCCAGTACCATGTCTCTGATGTGGCCTTACACAGTCTTTGGGTGTTTGTCCTTACAGGTGATGACTCCCACTTCTATTGTCTCTAAGACACCACATTTTTTTTAGCTAATTAACTTTTTGCCTTTTCTCTTCTGTAGTTTTCATTTTGTTCCATTCTGATCTTTTCTCTTACCAACCAGTCGTAGCTGATGGCTGCTCGTCCCCGAGTCTAGTTCTCTTAAATGGAAGTCCTTCCTCCTCACAGTCATCAATATCTTTCTGTTAGGGGATCCTTGCCTAGTTGGGGGTTCCTCTTTGAAATGTTTCAAATGTATTTATGTCTCTAGAGAAACTAAAGAACTAGTTCTTTAAAAATCCAACTTGACTGAAGCAATAGGCGCCCAGATTTCTAGTCAATATTTTTTACATTATGAAAATATATAATACATAAAATAATCTAGGGGAAACATTTGAGGCAATAAATAAATAAATAAATAAATAAATAAATAAATAAATGAATGAATAAATGAATAGGGTTGTACCAAATGGCCCCAATTTTAGCCTAAGCCAAACTGCCAAACTCCCATCTTGGATTTGGTGTAAGGCCAAGATCCACGTACTGATAAATTTACCAGAACAACATTGATTGTTGAAATACATCTATTTTTTTAGAGGTCATATTTAGAATAATATGCACAATGAAGACTACATTAAAAAATCTAAAACATATCTAAACATATATTATTCTCTGGACTGTGGGAGGAAGCCAGCTGTGAGGCAACCATACTATTTATGGTGTGGAGTTTGCATGTTCTCCCCGTGTCTGTGTTGGTCCCCTCTGGGTGCTGTGCCTTCCTTCCACAGTCCAAAGACATGCAGTTAGTGGGGTTAGGTTAACCCATCAGTCTAAATTGGCCATAGGTGCGAAAGTGAGTGTGAATGGCTGTTTGTCCCTCTGTGTTAGGCCTGGCGACCTGTCCAGGGTGTATCCCGCCTTAGGTGCGCGATATGACCAAAATCTCATATCCCAATATAAGAATTCTGTCGTCCGATAACGATATAAATCACAAAAATGTAACATTTTCTGTAAATTCTGTGAATCTC